TCACAAATTTCTAAATTAATGTAAGCACTTTTATTATTCGTTTTCGATTGCTAGAAGACTAAGATTAGAATTATATACGAACCTTGACATTCTGACTTCTAGTGTGAATAATCTGTTTCGCATATTGTCGGTACTCGTACACGAGCAAAAAACTTTAAATCCCATAGACATACTTATTGTCAAACTCTGAAAGAAAAAACAAAATTATAAGAATTTTAGCATAGTTATCTTTAAAGAATTCAACTAACCAGGATAATAATTAATTTTACAATCGCCATAGAATACTTAGATTGTTTGAGTCAACCTATGAATCAAGGACGTATGTAATACATATTAAGTTAAACATAATACCAAAATATTACAAAAAATTAAAAATTAGAAAATTACTTATGGGAATTACGTCAAAGCATGTTCTCTGATTTTTTTGATCATCGGGCATTGGTAAACTTATCAATCGACAAAAGTAATTATAGGTCGATTTTTCGGTTGCCCCTGAATTCATTTCAGTAATTCTGTGACAGATATAAGTTACTCTCATTATATGCTATAGTGAACCACCCAAGACCAGTTTATATAAAAAAGCCTCTCAATATAATAACGAGAGTGGCCTGTATATAATCGACCCTGCATAAATGCACTTATGGAGAATCGACTGTAATAAGAGTAGTTGTAATCGATGATGCTCGCATAGGCCGATACTATAATAAATACAGTCAGACCTCTCTAAGTGCACCCTCTATAAGCGCTAAATGCACGCTCAAGCGCTAGCCCAAATATATACTTGCTATAAGTGCACTTTTTCTTATTATTCTCTATATGCACGTTATTAAAGTGTGGCCCCAAGGGTGTGCACTTAGAGAGGTCTGACTGTATTGGCCAAGAAGACATGAAAATGAGCAAAATTTTCAGTTTGTCTCAGAATCTATGTGAATAGCCGTAAAAAAATAAAGCAAATTAAGACGTTATTATGATACACAGTAAAAACCTATTATACATCTGCATATAATAAAATCTTATTTTAAATATCTCTACTCTGTAATATTAAATATCTAAGAAGTTTCTTGTTAGAATTGTAATTTTTGAGGTTCAACCTAATTTTCTCATTGAGTATTATATTTAATATCCAGATTTACCAGCATTCGCCAAATTTTCATCAGCTTCACTTGCCTAACATATCTAACATTATTTTGGCAAAAAATTACTCTTGAAATTTAACATTGCTATTACCTTCACTGGCTTCGCTTCCTTCAAGCCTATTTAGTTGTGTTGTTGTACATACCTTTCCTATTAATCTTTTACCTGTTTTCTTTTTTCTATATATATCCTATGCATTACCTTTTTTTTTTTTTACCTTAACATTATTATTTCCTTTTTTACATTTACTAATGCGAATATATACCTTATATGGTTGTTGATCTCTGCTTCACCTTTATTTAGATTAGTATAATGTCAAATAAGAACGCGTGCATGGGTTTTTGTCTTGAAAATCACATCATAGAACATATGTCCTATGGCATGATTTTCAAGACAAAGGCCTCGCATAATCTATAACGCATAGGGCATAAGTAGTGGTGGAAATGTAAATAAATTCAGTCGATTATGAAGAGGCGCTAAGGAACAAGATTAGGAATTTACCTGTGATAATTATGAAAATAACACCACAAATGAATTTTAAGGTAAACGCGGGAGTTGGTACAAGGTGGGTGTTAATAATAAATGATAGAAGGAACTGACTCTGAAAAATGGCGTGATGGGTCAAGGTATTAATTAGATATCAAAATTGTATAAAACCTTTGTGATTCTACCTTGAATCAAACTTTCTCAGTTTTGATTTTCTAAAATAAAAATACGATATTAGTAGGTGGATCAAGATCAAACAACTTTCATATTAAATTCAAATTCTCAATTTTTTACCTTTATCACGATTCGCATAATTATTATAGACTCTGCATAGAATAAAGATATCATAATTTGTAAACATATATATTTTAAAAAAATCATTATAACAGCTTACCCCTTAACTTCTGTATCTCATTATTTTTTTTATTAGCTCTAATTCTAATTGTTATACAATGGTTACTACCTTGATATACTCTCCTCTATAACACAAAAAAAAAAAAAATGCCAAAAAGGCGACAGTTTACTACAAAAATTTTAAGTAAGGGTATTATAGACTCTAACTTATATTATGGAGTTTGGTCCAAAGTCTGGTGGGAAACAGTTAGTATAAAATTGGAAACCAAAACGAAACAGTTTGTATTACCTTATCGCTTACATATGTATATTGAATGTGTACTTAATCAAAAGAACTTCATTATTACTGTTTTGCCAGACAATGAAAATCCATTAAAGTCGGTTTTCAATGTATCTGTGATTCAATTAAAAGCGAAATTAAATCGCATCCGTCAGCAGCAATTAATTCATGCTATCAAGAAGTTTTTAAAACAAAAACTGAATATTCCGGGCTAGCTGTTATAGGCTTCGAAAATAAAGATATTATTCAACAACTAATCTCTGATGTAGAATTTTTTCTAATATTTCTTAATATAGAAAGACTTAATGTCGTAATATCAAGTATTGGTGATCTAAATGAAGACAAATTTCATGGAGTTGGCGCTGGTTTTGTTTCTTCATTTACAGCACGTTATCAAAGCGAACAGCATCTATTTGTCCTAAAAATTGAAGAAAATGAGTGTAGTTTAGAAATTTATTTAGAGACAATGTGTAAAAAGAAGATCAAAGGAAAAACTCCAAATGAAGTTTGGAATGAGGTAGAACTTTTTAAAAAGTATACCGGAACATATCTTTTTGGAATAACCAGCGAATTAGTTTGGGAACGTATCGAGACATTAAAGAGTAAATCACCAGTATGTACTGTAGATGACTAGATGAATAAAGAGCAACTTGAAAAAATCTTCAACCATCATATAAAATCACGAAAGATTCCTAGTGTAGTGGCTCATTGGCCATGTCTTTTTTCTAATTGGTGTAAACAAAAAA